TTTTTTTTTTTACCATTATCATGAGACACAACGCACCGCACCCAGGCCTATACGCAGTTCTAGTTATCCCTAAATGCTATTAACCCTATAACATGTCTACATCCCTAACCTATTCCGACCCTCACTAACTGATTCCCCACCTGGTGCCACTTTTACCATGTCTTAACTCAATGCTTCATTACCACCTATCTGTGCCCCAACCCCCTTTAACAACACGCACCACGTCAATCCATGAAAAGAGCCGTTTCCAGCAGTCCTGCAGTTGTTGCAGAATCCATCCTCAGCTCTGCTGAGTCACTCCAAAGCCATCGGCCAGCACCCAAGCGGAAATACAGACGCTTACAACAGTTGCAGGGTCCCAAGGACACACGACCTCCTTTTGCATCAGTGGGGAAGCCGGGATTCACCGATCAACCATGCGGCTAACTTTTTAACAGCCGCAAGCGATCCGCTTAGCAACGGTGGCACGAAAGGGTCTTAAAAAGGGGGGCAAAAGTCGCTTTAACACCTTGCCTTGGCTCGGTGGCAAAAAAATAAAAATAAAATGGGGGCTCCCTCGCGGTGGTAAGTCGAGGACTGCCTGAATTTTCCTTCCGTTGGATGTCTCCTTTAAACTTGCCCCCCTGCCCCCAATCTCTCTCCTCAGCTGAAGGAGGAGATGAAGCGCCAGAAAGAAGCTGCCGTCTTCAAAGCCCAACCCAGCCAGGTGCTACACCAGGAGCCTTTCCTTCCCAAGAAAGACAGCAAGCTGCTTTTAGGTGAGGCGTCTTCAGGTGCGGTGGCCCATCTGACGTTCCAAGTTTGACATCTCAAATAGAAAATGGAATAGGATAGGATAGAAATAGGGATAGGATCGAATAAGAATAGAATAGAATAGAAATAAAGATAGGATGGGATAGAAAAAGAATAGAATAGAATAAAATAGAATAGAATATAGTAGAAATAAGGATGGGATAGGGTAGAATAGAATAAACAAGAATATAATATAATAGAAATAAGGATAGAATAAAATAGAAATAAGGGTAGAATAGAACAAGAATAGAAATAAGGATAGAATAGAAATAAAGATAGGATAGAATGGAATGGAATGAAATAGAACAGAAATAAGGATAGAATGAGATAGAAATAAGGATAGAATAGAAATAAGGATAAAAGAGAATAGAAATAAGATAGGATAGAATAAATTATAGGAATAGAATAGAAAAGAATAGAATAGAAAATATGGAATGAATGAAAGAATGCAATGGAATAGAATAGGAATAGAATAGAATAGAATAGAATAGAATAGAATAGAATAGAATAGAATAGAATAGAATAGAATAGAATACTAACTCTAAAAGTTCTCATGGTTTCACCTGATTAAGAATGGAAGTTTGACACATTCCCAAACCAATCAGTCACCTGGTCCAATCAGCCTACAGTCCAGTTGCTAGGTGACCTGTCTCCTCCTCCTCAACACCAATGCAATCCTAAATTGCATTAACAGGGATACAATCAAGATCAAGGGAGGTATTAATACCACTCTATAAAGCCCTAGTAAGGCCACACACAACAGAATGCATATAGGCTGGGTGAAACCAGGCTTAACCAGGCTTTCAAGAAAAGATTGGACTGTCCTTTGTCAGAAATGGTGTAGGGTCTCTTGCTTGGGGGCGGGCGGGGGGTTGGACTAGATGACCTACAAGGTCCCTTCCAACTCTGATTATCTGTAATCATTACCGAGCAGTAACTGTGAGAGGGATCTTGGAGTCTTAGTGAAATAGGAGCCAGCAGTGTGCAGAGGCAGCCAAAAAAGCCAATGCAATCCTAAATTGCATTAACAGAGGATATAATCGAGATCAACGGGGGTACTTATACCACTCTGTAAAGCCTTAGTAAGGCCACACCTAGAGTCCTGCATCCAGTTTTGGTCACCAGACTACAAATAAGATGCTGAGACTCTAGAAAAAGTTCAGAGAAGAGCAAGCAGGATGATGAGGGGACTGGAGGCTAGAACGTACGATGAATGGTTGCAGGAACTGGGTCTGGCTAGTCTAGGGAAGAGAAGGACCAGGGTAGACAGGAGAGCATCTTCTAATATTTGAGGGGCTGCCACAGAGAGGAGGAGGAGGGGGTCAAGCTATTTTCTAAAGCACCTTTGAAGGCCAGACAAGGAATAATAATGGATGGAAACTGAACAAGGAGAGATTCAACCTGGAAATAAGGAGGAATTTTCTGGCAGTGAGAACCCTCAACCCATGGAACAGAAGTTGCCTTCAGGAAGGTTTTCAAAAGAGACTGGACTGCTATTGATCAGAAATGGTGAACGGTCTCCTGCTTGGGTGGGGGAGGGTTGGACTAGATGACCTACAAGGTCCCTTCCCATTCTGTTAATCTGTTTAAAAAAAAAAACACCTGCTAGAATGTCCTTGGTTCCCAAGGGAAAACGCTCTTTAGTTGGGCTCCAGCACCCTTCCCAGCTATCTCTACTGCCTCCCTCCCTACCCCCAGCCCCAAAAAGCAGAAAAAAGGAAATGGGACCATTACTCAACCCGGCGCTTCTCCTTTCTGCTCCTGCAGCCCCCGATCCCTTCGTGCTGGCCACCGAACTACGGGCCAAGGAGCGCCTGGAGTTCGAGA